CTGGGATCTCTGCGGCTTGGATGTCCCATTGCCTCCCGCACTGGGCGGCCGGGCGCCTCCTGGAGCACGAGTTCTCTCAGGGCATCCCCGCAGGCAATGCCTCCTCCTCCCAGGTTTTTATACATATAGAATAAATACACATATCTCCGCTACGCCCTTTGCTTTTGCCGAGTTTTGTCTTGTTGATCTCACTGCGTTTCTCCGGGTTTTTCAAGGTCGCTTTTGGCTCTGACCTGCATCCCCGGCAGTGCTCCCCCCTCCGTGTCGCCTGCGGGTTCTGCGAGCTTGTGTGCTCCCCGCTGCTCTCTGAGCATAAAAACTCAACAGTTGAGCTACCTAAGAGACATTCAACTTTCGGAGCCAGCTCTCTGCCACCGGGGTGACTGCGGGAGTTAAGGGTGTCCATCTGTCAAGATTATGTTACAGTAATGCAAGTACGTATAGTGCAGGTCCATATAGTGCAGGTATGTATGATGGAGGATGAACAGAGGAGAGGGCTGTGGGCTATTAAGTGCCTCCTCCGCTTACTGCAGTCGAGGAAACACGTTTTCCCCAATAACCAGCCTCTTGGTGTAAACAGGTACAGTTATTTTGAAAGTAGAAATCCAGGAAAAGTATGGTTTAAGTATGGTTATTTTACTACAGTAATAAGTGGCACAAACTATTTTGCATACTTGGAAATGAATACACTGATTAACCAAAGATACAATTGGAAATGGTAAGTATAAAATGCAGTGTTTGCAAAGAAAAAGGTGCCATAGGAAATGGTAGGTTTTACTGCTTGCAAAGAATACCTAGAGGTGCCAGGCCTAGCGCATGAAACCAAAGACACCCAGAATTCTCCTTAACTCTCAGAGATATATCCATCCTTAACCTTAATTTTGACTGGCAGCTATCACTGAAGCTAATGTGTACAATTTAGGAAAAATACACATCTTTCCTGATGAAAGGTGCCACATTCACATATGACTCCAGATGCAAGCGGTGAGTAAGATATACCAAAGGCAGAAGATTGATGCATATTGAGAAAAGTAATTTAATGTGCATAATAAATATCAAAAGCAACTGGAAGAAGCAATGGAACATTTTCTTTTGAAAATGCCGTGATATATGCATATTGATATCTGGTTGATATGAGGCTTAGCTGAATGTGCAGTGTCTGTAGGGATGGATCTTGGAAAGGATTAAGAAGGTGCTTGAGTTTAAATATGCAAATAGGAATTATTTGCAAGGTTATTATTTCCTTAAATCTTTGCAAAACCACAGCCATAGCTGGCTGTCAGAATAGCTAACATTCAACATGCCTAAACTTTTATTTAAACAAATGGATATTACAATAGGTTCAAGTTTGTTTTTCAGTTAAAATATTGCTACAGTCTTGAATTGCTAGCTCCTACATCACAATATTTACTAAGCAAAGTTTTATTTATATGCAACTATTTTAACTGTAGATGTTTAACAATTAGCCATACATTGAACTTTGGAGCACTTCATCTAAGGAGAGTATAATGGATTTCAGGAAGACTTCACTCTTCTTCTCTAGAGGAAAAAAAAGACTTTTGATTAAACATTTTTGGACTGAAAAAAATAAAGTTAGAAAAACAAGTATGCAGGGAAGCTCTCACTGCCCCGCTAAAGAAATACACACTACTTAAAAAATATCAGAGTGAAGTAATTATTTTTCTCTTTTTCCCTTTTGTACAAAATATTCCTGTCATTTTTTTACTTACTACTGTCATTGTACATTCATATACCCCAAGCCACGTGCAAACTGAACATATAATCATATTGTCATTTGCAAAGTAATGCAATTTACTTTTCTCTGGTGTAAGATGGCTACACAGATGGTTGACTGCAAAGGAGAGTCAAAGATTCTGTCTAAAAATCATAATCAGACTAAAGGGATGACTAGTGTTTTCATTAGGCCTTGAAGGTTAATCTTATGTGAATCAAAAGAGTATATATTGCTCAAAACTGTGTATGGATTACAAATAATTTTGAAGGAAAACTCTAGAGATTGTGCTGAGCATTTTATATACAAAAAATACTTGTACCGTTTAATATAGATGTAATTTCACCAGTATAAACTTAATCAAAGTTCACGGTGAGGCCTGTATTCTATGGTCCTCTCTTGTTGGAGATATTTCTCTCATCTATTCAAAGATCATGAGTCTGACCTCACAGAATTAAAGACAGTCAATTAAAAACTATTGAAATTTTCTTTTACTAATTTATTTTGTTAATATTGAATCTGTTTTACATGCCCTCTGAGACTTTTGTGTGCATTTGGGTTATACTTGTCTGCTTTATTTACTGGGGTAAGATGTCATGACCTAAAGAGGAGTTTTTCGCCAAATCCAATGACTGCTCAGAAGATGAGTGGGACACTGCCGGGATTTGCCTTTATGTCTCATGCCTGTTATAGCTTTGGCCCCTTCCGAGAACCTGGAGCCACTTGAGATGTGTCTCTGGGACCCCCTTATTCCCAAGTGTCTGGCAGTCCCCACAGCAGAGTGACACCATCTTTACTGCCGGTTCTCCGGGGGGTTAGAAAACACAAGGTGTTATTTTCCCCTGCTGCTCTGTCTGGTTCTACCCTATTGACAATACACAGAACCTGGAAACAGAGCACTGTTAATCTGAGCAGAGCACAAACGTGAACATTTTATGGTAAAACTGAGTTCTTTCAAGTAACAGTGCTGATTTTGACTTTGTACTCCTTCAAGCTTGAAGATAATATGAAGCACACCATTACCTAATCACCTAAAATAAAAAACACAATGTAGTAAATCTGGACTACACTTGATTAAGGAACACAAAGACATGATATCCAATGCCAGAGCTCTTGTCTGTGGTTGTGAGGTGATTCCTTTCTCATGGAATTTTTGTCATCGAATTATCTCATCCCAGATGTTCCTAAAAGATCAGGAGTTTCATATTTAAATAAGCAGTGTCTTTTAATACTATCATGTCTGTATTTTGCTGAGCATTTGTTTTAGTTTTCCATAATACTCTTATCTGTCTATTACCTATGTGTCATTTATGAAGAAACATACTTGAATGTACCGTGGCTGAATCCTGTTCCAGCTAAAATTTATTGCAATGTAAATGTCTCATATGAAGAATTATGTTCTCTATGAAAGAAGAAATAGCCAACTTACCACTTAAAAATTCTGTTTATAAAGTTGCAGTGCTTTTCCAGCTATGTATTCAATGAATTCAGCACTCTTTGGGTCCAGATTGGGAGGAACTTTAATGGTAAAAGTAGGTGAAGTCAGAATATTGACATCTACCACTGTTTCATTTGTACCAGAAAGATCCCCAGGTACCACCTGGAAGAGAACATGTTAGTACTTTATGTAATTCTTCCTCATTAAAAATGGTAGGCACAGTAGATATAAATAAAACGGATAGAACATCAGTATTTAAAGTACTAATTTTGAAGACTATTTTAAACTTTTCTAGTTTCATTAAATTATTCTCTTCTGAGAAGACAACATATGTCTTAATTTATGCTAAAATTTATCATGGGCTGTAAGAAGAGGTGACATGGTGCAGCAAGACCATATTAAAGATCTGCATGTTAATATTTATACCACATGCTATTTTTATAAAGACTTTCTGGTCTTGTAGCAAAAACTTGATTGCGATTTTCCGCACTATTTTCAAGAGAAAGGCTGTATGGTTTAAGTTAATGACTGTGAGGGTGACAGAGCGCTGGAACAGGCTGCCCAGAGAGGTTGTGGAGTCTCCTCCTCTGGAGATCTTCAAAACCCACCTGGATGCCACCCTGTGCCACGTGCTCTAGGTGATGCTGCATGTGCAGGGGGGTTGGACTAGATGACCTCTGGAGGTCCCTTCCAACCTTAAGCATTCTATGATTTTACAATTCTATTTTTCCAAATCAAATTACTTGGATTCAGTTGGGAATTGTGCTTAAATATTCCTGTATTCCTGATTTTGCAGTGGTTTTTTTGGTAGCTTGCAATCATTTTGTATTAGGTTCTTGTAGTAGTAGTAATAAACTGGATTTCTGAGTTGTCCCTACTCCAGTAAAATCATTTGAATTACTTTGGATGTATTCTTTTGTGTGAGACAGAGTTAGTCATGATGTATTCACTAAAATATTGACAGGTACTGTTTATGATATGCAGTTTCCACTGCAATAACCTGCATAAGATATATTTTCTTGGAGTTCTAGAATATATAGGTACAGAGGTTAGTAAGGATATATTACTGATTGGCACAGTGAGAAGGTAGAGAAGGCAATCTAAGGCCATTTAAACCTGCTACTGTCAATTTAGTTAGGTTAGACAGTGATTCAAGTTAACCTATAGACATTCATTAGACTAAAAGGATTTAGCGTAAAATAGTTCCTAATCTCTGGAGTTTCATCTTATTGAGGGATTATCAAGCATACATAAAATCAACCTGAGTAGGAACTTTATGTTCTAAAGACCAAAAATTACACATACACAAACATTTACAGTCTACAAAGTACATATTAAGGACAGCATTGTGCAGTAGATCCTTTTGGTAGATAACATTTACCTTAACTATATTGAAAATGTTTTCTGGTCCGATGGTCATGTTGGATAATTCAGACACCCACCCAAATCTTTCTTTCATTTTGTTCAGCAAGAAGGACGTGTCTTCTGTATGGCGCTGAACCATCTGGAGAATCTGCTCATACTGCTCACCCGAGAGATTAACCAGCTTAAAGGCTTCATCAAACTTTATGTGCAGCTCAGGAACATTTGGGCAATCTGTTTAGAAAGACAACCAGCATGGTGGCTGTAGGAAAGTATTATGTCTTGCACTTGGTCTTTTCTATCTGAAGCACAGAAGCCTACATTTTAAAAAAAATCTGGAAAGGGAGTATAATTTTGGTTTTATTTAAATAATGCTAACAAAAAGGAAGAATAATTCTTATTGACCCATTTTGGTGGATTTAGTGACTAAATGGATTAATTATCTCATTTGCTGTATTATGATGATTTACCGTGTAATCTGAGATCTATGTCGTATCTCATGGCAATTGATTTTCTGCTATGCAAATAAGAACTCATCATTGTTACATTTAATGGCTGCTCAGTTTCCTTATACTTTATTTATTTATTGCTGATACTCCTTTATCAGTCTATCCCAAGTATCTAGGTACAAGTAAGCCTGTAGTGCATGCTGTTAGCATTGCTGTTGAGTACTAAGGCTTAATTTTACTTTATCTAAATAGCCATTAGTGTATGACTAGCAACATCTGCTGCGAATTCAGAGTTGAAAAATTCTGTTTTTTCTTTATCGAAATATGGGTTTAGAGAACACTGTATTATTCACACGGACAAATTGTCAGGGATACATTCAATTTAATTCTCTCTGAAATAACACTATCAAGGCACACAGTCAGGT